ATGTCGTGTTCCTTCGTTCGACGGTGGTGACCCGCCACAAGCATGGTGATGCAGTTTGATATAGTATGTCATGTTGCCCTTGGTTTCTATCTAGGGGGGTCAGGGGGCGGATGCTAATGTATGGGGGGGAGCCCCTGTGATCGTCCCATGCTCGCGCCGTGTTTCTACAAAAAAGGATGCGTACAATGCCATGAAGAAGATGATCTGGTGAAGGCCGTGAGGAGTCGTCCATGCCCCCTTCTCTCTCTCTCTCTCTCTCTCTCTCTCTACGACAAGATCCTATCGTACACAACAAACAAACAAACAAACAGTATCCAGCCGCCGCGCCTACAACCCCGCCTACGACCGCGGCGCCCCCTTGCCGCCGAGCTGCTTCTGCCTGTCGCTGTAGTCCTTGACGACAATGGCGCAGGTGGCGTCGGCGCACAGGCGCCTGCGGCGCTGGACGGGCAGCTTGGGGGCAAACTCGAGGCCGGTGGCGCGCTCGACGGCCTCGAGGGGCATCTCAAAGTCGGCGAGGGGCTTGTCGTTGGGGATGGGGGCGTTGGGCAGGACAAAGGCGCCGACGGCGACGTTGCCGCCGGGCCGGCCGTCCTCGGCGAGGATGACCTTGTAAAAGTGGGTGGGCACGGCGACGCTCGGGGGGCTGCCGATGACCTCGTAGCGCGTGTACCACTTGCCGTCGACGGGGTCGCGCTTGGGCAGGTAGAGGGGCCCCGTGGCGACGCGGACGCTGGGGTAGCGCTGGGTGAGGCGGCGGCAGAAGTCCTCCAGGTGGGCCCAGTAGTCGCGGTTGAAGCCGTCGCCGACCTGGGGGCACATGTTGGTGAGGTAGAAGGTGTCGTCCATGGCCGTCTGGGACCACTTTGCGTCGGCGGCGGGGACCTGGTGGCCGCGGTCGTAGCCCGAGCGGAAGTAGTCCTTGAGCTTGGCCTGGAACTTGTCGGGCACCTGGGGGTCCTCGAGGAAGACCGAGTGCTTGCGGTCGGCGTCGCGGGCGGCGAGCGAGGCCGGCGTCATGTGCTCGACGACCCAGTGGGGGTTGCGGGTGCGGCGGTCGTAGGCGCTCACGAGGGAGGGGCGCGAGGATACGTCGGCGTGGGGGCCGGGGAAGCCATATTGGAACCAGCCGGCGGGGTCGACAGGCTTGAGGACAGGGAGGTTCGCGTGTGGCCCCGCGGCGGCGGCAGCGGCGGCGGGTGGTGGTGGTGGTGGGTTGGTGAAGATTTGCGAGGCGGGCACAGGCACAGTCGGCGCGGCGGCCAGATGTGTCGGGACATTGAGGGTGGCCTCGGGCTGCTTGGATGAGCGGAGAGAGTACATGGTGGCTGTGAGAGCGGCGCCACTTCCAGCGCCGAGGGCAGCGACGAGGGCAATGGAGGCGGTTTTCGACATGGTGAAGACGGCGGGCGGCGCTGCAGGGGACCAAGGGGGAAATATAGTAAGTAGGCCAAGTAGGGAAAAAAGGGAACAAGTGAAGAGATGGAAGAAGAGAAAGAGCGGCAACGTCAGGAGTGATGCTCTGATGACTTGATGGCGGCCACGCGGGGGGAGGTGGGCATGTGGTGAAAGAGGTGTGCGAGGCTGTCTCTGATCGAGCAGATGGCAGATGCAGATGGCAGATGGCAGATGCAGATGACAAGATGGCAGATGGGACCCCCTTCGAAGGGTCGGACAAAGTTGGGGTTCTGGCAAATTTTAGGGCGATTCCGCCAGGGGATCTTCAGGGACCGTTACGGGGGAGGTTGAGCCTGGCAGCCGACATTTTGCCGGTCGAGTCTTTGCACCTAGGCACCTTGAGGTACCTATTTTGCTATTTACCTACTTGAGTACCACCTACTGTATTCGTAAGGTGCTAGTCGGCTGCTATGCGCACGGGAGGCTCCCCTTGTCCTGCCCGTCATCCTCTACGAACGTAGGGCCCCGCGACCGGGACACCTGCCAGTCTGCCTGCCTGTAGGTACGTATACCTTAGGTACCTACCAATGTCCCTCAAGGTGCCGCCGAAGACTCGTGGCTAGGAACCTCATCTCAGGTCGGGTGCCCCCACGACATGGGATGCAAAGCTGCAAACCACAACTCATTGGAAACCAAGCAACTGAGCGCAGTACTGTAGATTTGCGTCTTTCAAATTCACTGTGAATTCCTGACTTTGTTTGGCAAACCTCAGCACGCGTCCAACATGACAGCAACAAATCAGCTGCTCATACTCGTGACAAGGTCCTGCAAGGTTTGGCCTACGATCGACGCTACCACCACAAGCAATCAGCGGTCTGCAGGGACGGGCCGTGTCGATGAGCAGGCCTGTCCATCCACGCTTTGGGCGTCGTTGGGGCGTTCGTACATTCTGCCATGAAGCGCACAAGCAAGTCACCGAGTCGAGGTTCTCGGCCTCTGCTTTGGCCTCTCTCTGCCTCTGTCAAACCAAACAGCCTTACTGTGGTGATGGCATGTTGACTCGAGAGGTAGGCATTCTGAAGCAAGATCACGCCCCTTCAGAAGAGGTAGGCAGGCAAGGTAGCCAAGAAGCCTCAGGCAGTCGAAGCTTGCGGGGATGGGGACCTTGATGGCTGGGCATGCATGTGCAGGGTACGAAGTAGTACTATGTACATGTATGTCGCTGGTGATGGCCCAAGTCGGTCTGGTTCAGAGACCAACAGGATACGTACCCCGGCACCTGGGTACATGTACTTGTACAGTACGCTTCTCTGACCCCTGCTCCCAAGATGCGAAGCTCAAGTGCCCTGGTTCCCCACCTTTCCCCAATTACGAATGGCCTGCGTCTGCGACTCCTGCTCCCAGTGAGTGACGACTGCTTTCTTTCTTCCTCGATCGCCATCCTGCCACTGCATTCACCTCGCTCGACTTGTCTCTCGACTTGTCTTCTTGGCTGCTCTTTGCAACTCGCCATCCTACGGCATCCCTATTCATCACCCCGATTCCAATTCTGCAGCACCAGCACCTCGCGGCACCACAGTCTGCCCCTCCTCATCTGGAACTGGAAATCCTCGCCCACCTAGTCTTCCCCCCCACCAGAGAGTACCAAAGTCCCAGGTCAGCAAACTCGCTCCAACTGATTCGTCAGAGTCGACCATCCAGACCTGCAACAGCGCCGCCACAACCACCACACAGAAAAAGCCTTCTCGACCGACCCGGCGACCTCCCTTCGCTGCTTCCTCTCCTCTCCGATCACCCTCAACGTGCCATGCGCTCGGGTCAGCCTCTTTTCAGGAACAGATCGTAAAGAGGCGGGTGGTTGCCCTTCATGTCCGACGCCGCCATGGAGCCTACGTCTCTGGACAATGACACGCGTGGATGGATCATGTGCCTGGTCAGCGGCATTGGTGGGTGACCCTGCATAGTCAACGAGCTGATTGTCTCTTGTCATGCCTCTGTCGTCCTCTGCCCTCTGCTCACAGTCTGACAGCTTGTGTCGTCGGTGCGAGTATCATCTACGTGGATCTGCTCATTTGTCGACTCCCCAGCAAGCGAGATTTTCGCATCCAGGACAGCAATGTCTTCCTCGCGTGCGCTCTCAGCTTGAGCTTTGGTGTCATGGTGCGTCATTCTTTCGTTTGCATTTTGCATGCATCCAGCCCCGCCAACCTCCGACATGCCCGCCAAGCATCATGGGAACCACAAGCTGACTGATCGTCTTCTTCCACAGCAATTCTCCGCCCTCTACAGCATGCTCCCCGAAGCCAAGTCCTATCTCAAAGAAGGCGGTTACTCAGATCAGATTGCCGGCGCCATTCTCATGGGCTGCTTCATCGGCGGCTTTGTCGGCATCCAAGCCGTCTCGCGATTATTGCACCAATTCATGCCGTCCCACGTTGTCGACTGCGATCACACCCACGACGAGAACGAACACCGCTCCCGAAGCCTCAGTCGCAAAACATCCTCGCGCGTCAGCAATCGCCATGCGCATCACAAGCATGATTCCGACGACGCCAATGGCCATGACCATGGCCACAGCCACGGGCATGGATACCCTCACGCCAACGGAGCCGCCCACGAGTCAACCCCGCTGCTCAACACGCTGTCCGAGGAGGGCAGTGCCAGGCCTGCATCAGGAAGACGACTCACAACGAGGCAGACCATGCCGGCCAGGACAGTGGTGAGAAGCCGCACTCTCACCGTTGATCGTCGACCGTCCATGGCACAGGTCCAGAAACGCGTCATGTCCTTTGTCAAGGACACCAAAAGCAACTGTGACGAAGGAGGGCCCTGCTTCGGCTACACGGATCCCTGCGGACAAGAGTGCTTCAAGCATCTGGGCAGTCGCTCCGCGGCCTCGTCGCGCCATTCCACCTTGGTCCGCGCCTCGACCGGCCACTTTCATCCAACCTCGAGCGGACCGCACAGTCGCGAACGGGAAGAAGACATTGAATCGATAGGGTCTCCTGCCAGCCCGCGACACCCCAGG